TTTGAAAGAAGCACTTCAGCCTCAAGATCTCTCTCCACTCCTTCCCACCTTGAAAGGATCTCCACAGCACCGGCTTCGGTTTCTTTCAGGCGCTCACTGCTTTTTTCCCGTATGAAGTAAGGTTGTCTAGCCATGACTGCCGAAGAAGTGTCTGTGCATTTGCTGTAGTTGGCGCTAGTACTGATCATCTCCTCGGTAGCGCTATTAGTCATTAAGCTAGCTTGTTCTCTGTTGGGTATTCTTGGGATTATCTCGGCGCTGAGGGAGGAACTGGGGAGGGTAAGTTCTACTACAGCATCAGTAAGAATATCTCCAGCTGCTGAGGTTTCGAACTTCTGCTGAAGTGAAGTGGAAACGCTGATCACATGGGTACAGGACTCCTTCGTTCTTGGAATAGTTCTTCTAACGAGCGCGATGCCACTATCGCTCTTCTCCTGGCTGTACTCTTTGAATGTTCGCACGACCTCGTGTTCGCGATTGATTTCATCAACAATCCGCTCGATTTCTGCCAGATCTTGAGCAAAGCTGTCGAAGCGGAGAGTTTTTTCCTCTTGGTCGATTGAGAAGGTCTTCATTTCCTTGGTTGTAGGTACGGTAGCCAGCGAATGCGCGACTCCATATGAACTCTCCGCTTTGGAAATTTGTTGTTCCTTAGTGGTAGCTTCCACAGCAGAAGCTTTGGTGTACAAAGCGAAGCTTTGCTGAAGCGTTTCGGCTTGGGTGATCTCGGCTTCCAACTCGTTCAAGATTGTCTCCCATTCAGATGCTGTTGATTGTAGATTCCATTCTTGTTCTTGCAACTTCTTCTCAGCTCGTTCTTTCGACCTCGCCCGAAGTTTGATTGCTGCTGTTTCTCTTATTCCTGATTTCGAGTATGATGTCGTGAAGGTCGCCGCTTCCGATGTCGTTGCCTTCAGCTGTGACATCGTCTTACTATCGTTCGTTGCTTGAATAGTCTTTTGGACCAGTTCTGCTGGAGCTGTCCTCTCCAAGGTAGAAATAACCTCCATCTTTTCACTTCCGGCAGCTTTAGCTGTGACTTGCTCTTGCCATCTTCTTGCTATCGGGTGCCAGTAGTCGCATCCATCCGATTCGAATTTCTTCTGAACGATTTTACCAAAGAGTGTGCAGATTTGCGTTTGTTCGTCTCCGAATTCACGGAATTGTCCCGTAGCAAGTTCCTTCAACGACGCAGTGTTTATGCTTTCCGAGATCTGTTGATCATCCTCCTTCTCGAATGTTCTTTCCGATTTAGTCATCTCAATCTGGAACTTTCTTTCCTGAGCTTCTTTGCTCTTTAGTGCGACATTTTGTTGGGCAAGTTGTGCAGCTGTACTTTGTTCTATGTTCATTGTCGATTCGATAATGGATTCTTCTACTGCTCGAAGATTCGCAGCTGACTGCAGTTGGTTCATAAGCGCGAAAGTTCTTGATTCGGACAACTCGTCCACATAGGTTTCATATTGAGATATCGCTGCTTCTTCCTTCGTCTGTGACACTCTATCTGCATCTCTCAGAACAACTTTTTCCTCGTTTAAAGCTTCTGTCATGGCCATTTCCTCGTTTTTCTGGAACAATATAGTAGAGCTCAACTGAGATTCCTTCGTTGCTGCTACCCGCTTCTCTTGCTCCATCTTAGTTGATGAAGTGAGGAGTTTCGAACTGGCTTCGGCTTCCGACTGCTTTTCCAGAAGATTCTGGATGTTTGCTTCGGTTTCCTGTGACGCAGCTGTGAAATGAACTTGAGCGATCTT